TTTGGCTTTGCAGCAGTTCAGGTGCAGCTGTGTCTGAAACTCATTAACCAGCTCAGATTGGAAAATAGGACGTACAGAAATAAGGGAGGGAGAGGGACAGGGGCTTCAGTGAAGGTTTTGCCTCTTTATCCTGCTTCCTACCCAGAATTCAGGGCACATTTGCACTCTGGCATAGTGCTGTGACTGGTCTCCAGGCCTCCACATCTCCACATGGTATCACAGGCCAAAGCCTCCTTAGACCTCCTAATACCCCCCTTCCCCCCAGCTTCAGCGTGCACCTTGCAGCGCCGCAGGATCGGATGCAAGGGCATCCACAGGACACCTGCGTGGGAAAATCACAGGCTGCTGCGGTCCCTGGGCACTAACACCAGCCTGTCCCCTGCCGCAGAAGGAAGGGAGTCGGTGTCGTATCTCCTCCTGTGCCACTATGAGCAGCACAGTTCAAGTTCAGCCAGATGAAGTGTCCCATGCTGAAATGGTCCCCTGCAGATGTACCTGAAAAACAGCCTGGAGAAGCTACAGGAGTAAGGGCTCCTGCTGCATGCAGATGGAGGGGCTCCAACGTGCTGCTGGTCCACAGAACAGGCAGAGGCCGTGAGAGAACTATTTCCAGTCAAACCATCACTTAGTTTGGAGTGTGACAGAGAGAGAAAATCAGTTCCAGCTTAATTTCAGTGAAGACTTCAAAATAATGGCTCAAGTTTATTTTCGGTTCAGGAAAACAAAACAGAACAAGACCTTTGACCAGACCTTTGCTTTGAGTTTGGTATTTTCCAAGTAACAGCAAATAAACTGAGGTTGTCCTGCAGGAGATGCCCCCCTTGGGGTCACCTGCTGTTGCTCAGCTTTGCATTTTGAGCTGACCGACCGTCGGCAAGACCAGAGCTTTCCTTATGGCCGCTGCCACGCTGGGAGCAGGTCCCCAGGCAGCCTGCTCCAGGGAAGGGTCTGAGCACTCCCCATTCTTCTTTCTGACTCTGCAAGGACTTGCTGAATGACCTTGGCCAAGCCCATAATTTGTTTTCTGAGTTAATAAATACCTCACGGGAGCACTGGGAAGAATCATTAAAACCTGTGTATGACCTGTGGAAGAAAGTGTTGCAGAATACAGAGTGTTGGTTCATGTTTATAGACTTTCCAGCCCAAAGGACAGGCTGTCAAAGCTAACCCATCTTTAAACATCTGGCAGGTCTCAACTGGTGCTGATATACAAATGCAGGCAGTAGCCTGATGGGAAAAGAGCAGCTCACAGGTCTCATTTACATTTTGGTTTTAGGCAATTTCTCCAATTAAAGGGGGCACCAAGGCCAGATTTCCTGCAAAAACACCTAATAAGAGATAAACCGGACTACAGTGAGCCTCTCAGGTGGTATTTCAAATGTTCCCTTGCCTCAGCAAGCACGGGAAGGCCAAGTAACTGCGGTCCCCTGTCTCCTTACTGTTCAGTGGAGCAACCTGCAGCTCAGCCACATTTACAGTGCATCTGTAAATAGCTGGTAAAAGCACATCTCTTCAGGAAGATGCTGTGATCAATCACATCACGTAATTCTCATTAGCATTAATCAATCCCAGCTTTTTACGCTTTTTAGATGAGATAAGGGAGTCCTTGTTTTTAAAGAACAAATTGCTGCCAGTGGACAGTATATTTAGGTATTGAGAGGAGTGGGGGAAAAAGGCAGGGTATAGGAGCACAAGAGAAATACCTGCTGAGCAGGAACACCGGAGCACGGCGGCGGCGAAGAGCACAGCGAAGGCTGCCCGGGGCTCGTGGGAGAAGCGCTTCATGCCGGGGGTCCAGCTCCCACCTGAGCGGCCGCACAGATCAGGTCGCTGTCGCCGGCAGCTCTGGTTCAGCAAACCCTTGATGAGCTCAGAGAGCCGGTGTGCGGGGCAGAGGGTGGAGCAAAGGAGCTTCCTGCTGCCAGGACACCTTGAACTTTCCTGCCACAACCCGGTGAGGAAAGAGAAGGGCTCCGACCAAAACAGCTCCAGCAGGAGGTGGATACCAGCGCCGAGGCAGGCAGAAGGCCCCTGAAGGTCAAGCCTGAAGGTTTCTCCCTAGGATCTGCTGCAGCTGGAGGGAGGAAAGGCCTCCAGAGCCAGCCCTTCCCGATGGGGTCCCAGGCAGCATCTGTCTTATAAATCTCCTTTTGATCCTGCAAAGCTGGTCTAAAAGAGCTGGAAAGGAGCAGAGGGTCAGGGCTGAGAATTTGTCTTCTTGTTTAGCTTAAAGACCTTTGTTGGGTTATGGGTTGGGATCAGTTCAAGCTTGGGGCCTCTGCATAGGAGAAGCTGCTGCTGTTCTCGCCCCATGAGCACAGCTGTGTCCTGTCTCCATCACGCATGTACAATGTGATGCTGAAAGAGTTTTTTGGGGGTTTTTTTCTCCTCTTGTAGTTGCAAGTGTTTGGTCTCCCTTTGTTTAAGAAAAAGCTCGAGTCCAAAACTCACACAGCCTTAGCCCTGCCCAGCATTCCTATAGGGTGAACCCACTTGTCCTCCCCGCTGTCCACACCTCGCCACCGAAAACACTCTGCTCCCTTCCAGGTGGGAATATTTCCACTGCGCAGCAGGACACAGGCAACCAGAGGTTTTGCCCGGAGAAAGGGTATGCCGAGCCACAGGTGAAGGCAGGCCGGCTAAAACGGGCACGTTTACCCTCTTTACCCTCCTTGGTTTTGTGTCAACACACCACCGGGGCTGGCGGAGTTAGGGCTGTGCTGGCCGGTCTGCGATGGCCGCCTCCTGCTGCTGCGGGTATGTGTGGTCCTGTCCTTCAGCTGGCACCTGAGGGGTGACCGAAAGTGTGTCGTGCTTGGCTGGCGGCTGGGCCGGGTGCGTGACCCCAGCGGCCATCGCTCTTGGCCTTGGTAGACGTGAGTCACGGCAGGCGAGAAGCTGTAAAAATGCTCTGACTGCTCAGAGTTGCTTGAAATTAGCCTATAGGATAATCTTCATCTCTCTATCATGTCAGCGTCTAAGTCTTTTCATGCCAGTTGTCTTTAATTTGTGTTTTTATCCGAGCGCTCTGTTGCATCAAAACTAAAACTCAACTCTTTACTGGGGAGCGGCCCTCCACTTTCTTCCAGCTTCACCTGCCCCTCCTGAATTTCTCACCTGT